GACTTTGTCCCATGTACTTTGGACATGTTATCAGTAAGAATCAGTCCCTGCATAATGAATCACGCTTGGCAAAGTGGAGGATCCACACACAGATAAAGAGGAAGACCCTCAATGAGATGGTTTGACACAATGGTTACAATAATGGACTCAAACAACTATCTAGAGTCCAAAAGAAGTTAGGATTGGAATGATACATTTGATCGCCATCAAAATAAAGATAGCATTTAAAGTTTGGTTATTAGATTTAACCACTTACGAAGAGGAAGCAGATAGAAAAAGAAGACATGAGGGCTAAAATGTGAACAATTTTAATATTTTGAAGTCAGTTGAGGAATTATTTTCTACTTTACCATTAGACTGAGTAAGGTTAAGAAAAAAAACCAAGTGTGAGAAGTAAATTAAGATGATCCATCTTCAGGAATAATGCAAGGGGGAGGGGAGGGCAGGAAAATTGCTAGTCCAGACATAGATTGTGGATGAACAGTGGCCTATGCATCTGGGGTCTGCAGGATGAATTGGGGAGGGGGCAGGGAAGAACCTGTTCGAAGACTAGGAACTTTAATTCAAGGGAAGGTAGACAATGTCCAGGAAAAATTAACCCCACAGTACTTAGTCAATGAGGAACCAGGGGAGGGACTTTCTCAAGCTAGGCAATTAAAATGCTTTGGAAAACGGCCATGTGGCATGTCTGCCTGTGTCTTTGGGGTTTGGCACCTGATTTTGCAAAATCGAATTAAAAAAACGTCACTGTCACTAAAATAAGTATATATTGGATTTCTTGAGCATTTGATGGTAAGCACTCCTGATAACTCATCGGTGAATTCCTAACCAAGAGGGACCAAGGCAGTATTTCAAACAAGGAAGCAGAGTTGGAAGCCTAGAGAAAAAAATGTTTCAAAAATATGTGGTCAAGTGTGTCAAATGCCTTAAGGTTGTTGTTGTTAGGGGCCATTGAATAGGTTGACTCATAGCGACCCTATGCACAACAGAACAAAACACTGCCTAGTTCTGTGCCATCTTCACAATTGATATTGTGTTTGACCCTATTGTTCCTGCTAATGTGTCAATCAATTTCCTTAAGGGTCTTCCTCTTTTTCACATTAGGTTGAGTTGGAACCTACACCGGGCACTTAATAACAATATTAAGGAAGGGAATCCTAGTGTGGTCTTATAGGATAAACACTGGACTACTACCATCAAGGTCAGTGATTCAAACCCACCAGCCACTCCTCAGAAACTATACAAGGGTTGCTGTTAGTCAGAACCCACTCAATGGCACTGAGCAATATTAAGGAAGTGTCCTTGTGTGGTCCTGTAGGATAAGCACTGGACTGCTAAACACAAGGTTGGCGGTTCAAACCCACCAGTCACACCTTGGAAGCCCTATACAGTGTCGCTATGAGTCAGAACTGACTTGATGGCACTTAACAACAACAATATGAAGGAAGAAGTACAGTCAGAATGCTCCTTAGAAGTGAAGATGGCGAGATTTTGTTTCTCATACTTCAGATACGTCGTCAGATCCATCAGTTCCAGGAGAACATCCTGCTTGGTAAAGTGGAAGGTCAGTAAAAAGAGGAAGACCCTTAAGGAAATATTTAGCAGCAACAATAGGCTCAAACATATCAATTGTGAAGATGGCACAGGACTGGGCAGTGTTTTGTTCTTTTGTGCATAGGGTCATTATGAGTCAGCACCTACTCAATAGCACCTAACAACAACAACTTTAGGGCATATTACTGTACAGATCTTATGACAGGTCTTATGAGCTTGTAACAGTTATAAGAGAGAATAACAAGAATCAAAATCCCAAATGTCATATGTGAAAGTACAAGTAGGCAGAATATTTATTCCATGTGTACCAGGAATGGAGGCATTATTTATAGTTTCAGATACACATAGGTCAGTAGATGGAGAAAAGATGAGATTGTTTGTATCTTTTTCATATGTTTTATCTCTTGAAGTTTCTTTCTTCATTAGTAAAATAGGAATTGTCTACATCATAGGATTTCTGTGAGGGTCAAGTGATCACAGAACAAGTGTGGCAGCATTAACCCAGTGGGAAATTAATTATACCCCTAGTTCAGTTTTCTATTAACCTATAATGGTCAGTTTCTCATTTTGCACTTAATAAAAGACCATCGTTAAAATAATGGGTTTGGAAGTGTCAGAGAAAGGTTAGCTTACACATTTAAATGGATAGGTAAATGATATGTAGGTGAGTTCAAGTAGGTTTAGAAATAAAGCAGCCCTTGTGACTACCAGGGGAGGACCAGCCAACCCAGATCATGAAGCAACTGAAAAAGATGGAAATTTTCACCTGGAGTGATTTTCCCATACCTCTCATGTATGGAAATGGGGCCCAATGGCCCATAAAAAATAAGTAAAATATAAAGTGAGTATTTTGCTCAAGCTGACTGAAGTCTAGCTGAGAGGTAAAAACAATTCCTGGACTTTGATTAGACCATAAACTATAAACCAAGGAAAGACAAACAGATTTCACCTTTCTTGCCAAGTCTATTGACAGAGGCCATCTTGAGTGCTGACCAAACAATTCAGAGGCTTGTTTAAGCTGCAGCAGTCAAGTGTGGAAGGCAGTTAGCCATTATCTGCCACAGACATTGAGAGCACCTGAGGAAAGGCAGCAGGTGAGATTCTTGGCTATCCCTGAGCTAAGACCTCACCTTAGTTAACCATTTAGGGGATGTAAACAAAAAAATTCCAATCAGTTATTTTTTAAAAGACCTGTATGCAAATATTAGCAGAATCAGAACTTCCTGACTACACACAAAATAAGGAGAAACAGCTAATGGAGTCAAAAGGCAAAATATTTCTTTTTTTTTTCCTAATAAGTAACTCTATGAAGCTAATTACTTCTTACGATTAAAAGAGTAAATCCTACTGTAATCTTCAGTAAGGTGCAAATCTTTGAAATAACAAATGAAAAACACAAAAGTGTGAACCAAGAGAAAAGAAAAAACCTGGACTGTTTCCTGAAAATAGGTATATAAAAGGTGAATCAGGTGACAAGTTCCATATGTAGACGCTTACGTTTATGTTGAAGATGAGAAAATAGGAGCTCACTGGGAAAGTTTCACAAATGTCCCCAGTTGAACATGAAAGGGGAAAAAAAAAACATTCTTCCTGAACCCAAGACACAGATTTCCTTCACACAGGGCAGTTTTGTTCTCCATAGATTGTAGGATCTCCCTGTAACACAAAATAGTTGTCAGAGTCATTTCCACTTTTACCTTTAGGGAAAACATCCTTCTCCATACTAAACTTGATTCACTTAAAAATAGATGCAAAATATTTTTAATTGAAAAAATAGCAACATTATGTACATTAAGGTGTTGTTAATATGTCGTGGAGCCTGTTCCCGCTCATAGTGACCCTATACGGGGTTTCTGAGGCTGTAAATCTCTACGGGAGCAGAAAGCCTCATCTTTCATCAGCGAAACACCTGGTAGTTTCTAACCGCTGTCCTTAAGGTTAGCAGCCCAATTCGTATCCACCGCGCTACCAGAGCTCCTTTACATTAGGGTACATCATCCCAAAAACACACTACAGCTCTGCTCATCAGTTATGCTAATGGGACACCACAGTTGAAACATTTTACTGGTGAAACGTATTAAAAAACAAAAAGAATGATCTTAACTGGGGAGGAAGCTGCACAAGTTTTCTTTCTAGCTAATACAGCTCACTTTTGATTAGGCAAAAGTATCGCTGTGGGTTAATACGCTGGACTGCAAAATCGGTTTGTAACTCAAGGTTGGTAGTTCAAGCTCACCAGCTGCTCCTCGGAAACACTATACTGGGTCGCTATGGGTCGGAACCGACTCAACGGCACTTAACAACAAATCTTATCGCTAAGACTACATAAAAGGGTGCTGAGGGAGCACATTAAATTGCCTTTTAAAAAAATCCTGGTAGTGTGATGTCCAACAGTCGTTAAGCTTGTACAGGCGCTTAACTAATTTCACCTACCTAATTTTTCCAACCGACCCCGTGTACAAATCCTCCTCTACATCCCTTTAAGAAAAGTAACGTTTGCTTAATCGTGAGTCGTTGTCAAATCCACGCCAAATTGGTAGCAAGGAGTCCATTTGTGGCAGATTAAATTAAGAGAATCAAAACAATGTCTAGTTTAAGGGGTCAGACAGACGCCTGCTAAATTTGCTGAAATGCACATTATCAGGATTCACCCGGAGCACCAGTGAAGCGCTTTTTCGAGGTGTGGGATTTGGGGGTGCCTTCTGGGGAAAAAAAAAAAAAAACTTCAGAAATTCGGAACCACTGTTTTACAATCTACCAAAGCACCTAATCTTGGAAAGTAAAATTCACTTCTTGGTTTTTGACGTTTGGGGAAAGGCTCATTTGAGCTGAAGGGTAATTTCTAAAACATTCACATGATCGCTTGAATCTACACAGGGCAGCGAACGAAGAGAAACTAAAAAGAGAGCACACAGCGAGCGCCCCAGAATTCCCCGGAACCATGAACAAGAATTCGGGGATCAGGGTCTGATGGAGACAGAGTTGACTTACTCAACCTTAACTGTGCAAAGAACCATGCTCCTGACCCCGCGGTAGCACTTTCCTAGGGCTTCCGGTGAAACCTCCAGCCCAGCACCGTCCTTCGCTGGAACAGAGAAGAGGACCCACACAACCCCTACAATCGCCGTGGCGCCGGCCCACGCGTGCGCACCGAGGCACCAAGCTCGCGGCGAAGTCTGTTTCCTGACTTCCGGGGGAAGTGGCGTTGGATCACTTCCGGCCTCCCTCTAGCTGCCATCTTGCGTCCCCGCGTGTGTGCTCCTAATTTCAGCTGGTCTGCCAAAGACCCCCTGAGCGCCAGCCCTAGTCCCCCGCGCGGCCCCATTTCCGCTCTGACAAGGTACAAAAAGGCTCTGAACGCCGGCGTGGGAGGAGGACGGGAGCGGGGGCGGGAAGTTCCCGGAAGGAGCGAGACAGGGAGGGACAGGGCAGAGGAGAGGAAGGCGATGCGACGGACAGGCGCACCCACTCAGCCTGACTCTCGGGGGCGAGGTCGAGCCAGGGGCGGCTGCCCTGGGGTCGAGGCGACGCCGTCTCTTCCTCCACCTCGCGGCGGAACCCGAGAACAGGAGCCTCAGGTACCACGAGGCTTGCTGAGAGTGGCTGGGCCGGGCGGGCCCTGGCTAGGCCGAGGCCGGGCCGCGGGCGGGGGGTGCTGGCCAGCCCCGGGGAGAGGCCTGCTGCCCCGGCTGAGCGGAGCGGGGCGCTGCGGGGAGGCTGGGGGAGGTGGTGGCCCTGGGGGCTCCCTGGAGACTGAGAGCGGGAGCCCCGCGGGGTGGATCTGGGGCTCCCGGCTGCGGCCTCCGAAGGACATTGACTCGGGAAATAGCGAGCTAGACCTTTCCTCGCTGAGGCTTTCCTGTTTTTCTAGATGAAAGAAACCATCATGAATCAAGAAAAACTCGCCAAACTGCAGGCACAAGTGCGCATTGGTGGAAAAGTAAGTTTTAATGTGTTATCTGCTTAGTAGTAGTAAAAGATTATTGTTTTTGGTTTTGTTTTAAGAAGGTGGTTTGTCGTCTTTTACATTCCTAATCTCGTTGACTTGTCATTTTCGCATCCCGACTTTCGTACAGATGAGGGTGGAGGTGCTGAGATGCACAGTAGAGTGTATCCGGGAGATCTGCAGGTTGTACGTTTTTTTTTGTTGTTGTTTTTTTAACATATATAGTCAGAAGTCGAGACTACAAGATGACTTAAACAGAAAACATTGGTTTTATGTAACTAACCCTTGTGTTTTCAGCATTCCACTGCTTGACTTAGAACCAGTGTTTGATAATTTCATGAGAAAACTTCAGTTCAATTAGATTATTGTGTCATTCTGGACATCACACCCTTGACCTATTTTTGGTTTAAGGTGCAGAAAGTTGCTGTTTGGCTTATATATTTGCGTATATGTAGCGTAGTGGTTACGAATCGGGCTGCGAACCTTAAGGTCAGCAGTTTGAAACTACCAGCTGCTCCGCAGGAGTAAGATCAGGCTTTCTACTCCCGCAAAGATTTGCACCCTCGGAAACCCTGTACAGGGTCGCTATGGGTCGGAACCGACTCGACAGCACTTAACAAATGCGAGTATGTGCTGCAGGCTAATACACTGGACTACAAAGTAGGTGGTTCAGGCCCACCAGCTGCTCCTCGGAAGTTCTAGATAGGGTTGTTATGAGTCAGAACTGCATTTAAAAACATGAGTATAGGAGTCCTGGTGTGGCACTGTAGGGTAAGCACTGGACGACTAGTGACTTTGTTGGTGATTCAGAGCTATCAGCTATCCTTGGAAACCCTATACAGGGTCATCATGAGTCTGCCCCCATATAGCCGCACTAAACAACAACCTGAGCATATGTGTGAAGTGGTTAAAGCACTCAGTTGCTACTGAAAGGTCAGGGGTTTGAATCTACTCCATTTTGAGGGAGAAAGATAGATATATGTAACAATTTCCATAAAGATTTATAGCGTAGGAAACCTGTGGGGGCCTTTCTACTGTGTCCTATGGTCACTGTGAGTCAGGATCAACATGATGGTATTGGGCTACAGTAAACTTGACAAAACCACCTGTGCAAGGTAGAAACCAGTCAGAAGAGGACAATTCAAGTGTTTTGTTTTGTTTTGTTTTGTTTTTTCCTTCACTAAAACGAGTGATGGTAAACTGAGACCCTAGAATGAAGGCAGTCTCAGCAAGTTTTACTCTCAGTGAGATTCAGTGTCCACAAATTTTTTCTCTACCTCAGTAGTTCTGAATTTGTTCATTTTCCTCTCCTTCCAATTACATTATAGTTTGAGGTTCAAGATAACTTCAAAGTGATTAGTGGGGTTTTAAATGATCAGCGTTGGGTTAATGTTTTTTCCTGGTAGATGTTTATCATCTTCTAGGGGATTCTTCATTGAACTTGATAGGTTTGTAGTATTCTCTGAGTGACTGCCTTAAATCAGAAGTCTATTGTAGACAGAGATCCCACTTAGTTAGCTGTCTTTAATATTGTGTTAGCACATTCCTAGTATTTAACAAGGTGTGGTAACCTGTTGGGACAGAACATGTCTGTGCTTGGTAAAACTTATAACCTTCCATAGTACAAATTTATTGCCTAGTAGCTTTTCTCAGTTTTAAGCATTTGCTTTCAATTAAAAGAGCCAAAAGTTGGACTTGGTTTTAAATAATAAGACATAGATCTGTAAAACTATTGGACTTTGCCGATAGTGAATTTATCCTATTCCTTTTTTGCTGCTAAATCTAGTAGTCTTCCAAAATCCACATACACCCATTAACAATAGTAGGTGCTTCTTGTCCTTTTTAGCAATTGTTATAGGCCAGGTTTGGTCTGAATGTCAGAAAAACTCATCACATTCTTTGTGGGTCAGTGTTGGATGTTTCTAAATTGTGTTAAGCTGTCATTCCTTTTAATACAGATTTCAGAAGCAATAATCTGGATAATGTTCTTGTCTGCCATCTTTTGTTACTCTGATTATTAGGCTTCAACTATTGAGAGGCATCACTGGAGGGTAAAGGAAACATTGAAGTTTTCTTAAACACTTAAAGGTGATGTAGGTGTGAACCTAACAGCTTAATAATTATTATATAAGGAAGCATTTCTTTAGTCATGGGAATATGGAGAAATAATTTTGTGTACCATTTAACAAACCTACTTATTATAGACTGTGATAATAGAGGAACTAGTTTTGCCTTAGACAAAATTAAGTTTGGAGTACTTTGGTGGTAATTGCACAAAGGCCCTTTATCTCAGTACCGGGTCAGCTCATTGGTAATAACAATTATTTTAGTAAAAATTAAATTCTAGGTACATGAAGTATATGGAATCTACAGAAAAGGAACTGGTTTTTGTATTTCTCTTATGTAGCCATTGACATTTTCTTCAGTTAAACCTTAGTATTCTGGGTCCTGAGAATATAATTTTTTAAAAAATGTGAAGTCCCTTGGGGAGGGAAGGGACTGTGTAAGCCTTATAGAAAGATAAACTTTAATTTTTTTTAATCTGTTTTCACATTAGCAAGAATGCAGCCATTAGAAACATTTAAAATTTATTGTTAAGTACCATGGAGTCAATTCCAACTCATAGCAACCCTGAAAGTTATGAATTGGTTTTAAGCAGGAAATGGATGGTGATAGTTTTTGATTTAGAACATTGTAAAATAGGTCGTATTTTAAGGTTAAATTGGAGACTTGGCATATAGGTAAAAGGGGCTACACGTTTTCTTCTGTTAATTCGTTTTATCATGTTATTGAGTGCCTTCAATGAGCTAGCTAGTGTTCTAGGTAATGAGTTTATAGCAGTAAATAGAACAGAAGCCCTCAAGGAGCTTACATTCTAGTGAGGGGCACAGATAATAAAATATTTTGTCTCGTATAGTAGTGTGTGCTATGATGACAAAGAACCACGATAGATAACGACTTAGTGTGGGAGTGACTGTTTTGCATTAGGTGAGAGAGAGAGAAGCTTGCATATCCTAAGAATACTAAAACAGAGTGAATACTGCTGTATGTGATGTTTCCAGATGAGGCTTTAAAAAGTAGGACTTTCAAAAGATCATTAATCTATATTTGATAACAGATGACATATAACAACAAAGTTGTCTGTTGTTGTTAAGTGCCGTTGAGTCGATTCTGACCCATATAGGGTTTCCAAGGAGCAGCTGTTGATCTTGAACCACCGACCTTGCAGTTCAAATGACTTTGCAGTCTGGTGCATTAACCCACAGCGCCACACCAGGACACCAGGAGATGTTAAGTACTGGTAGCCAGTTCCTTTAATTCTTCGCTTTTTTGCTTTCATCTTTGTCTTAACTTCCCTGCTCGTGCATTCAAAGTTAATGGTGTGATCATTTTATTATACAGACCTAAGGGTCAGAAAATAATTAGAAATACTTTGCATTTTAGAATCTGATGTTACAGTAAAATCTGTGGTTGTCTCTCCCTTTAGGGAACTGCTCGCAGAAAGAAGAAGGTGGTTCATAGAACAGCCACAGCAGATGATAAAAAACTTCAGTTCTCCTTAAAGAAATTAGGGGTAAATAATATTTCTGGTATTGAAGAGGTAAGTGTTGAATTTTATTTCATCATAAAACAAGATCTGACTAGAAAAATGTAGCATTCAGGCCTTAAATTGTTTTGTTTTTTCCATGCTTCCAACAGAATTTACTAGACTTAAAATTTCTAAGACATATTCCTTGCCTGTTAATAAATATTAGAGAAAGCTATTAGAGCATGTATTCTCTGCTTTTGTAAAGTGCTCTATAGTTGAAATAGTAGCTTTAGCAGGTCTTCAGTTTTCACTTAATATAACATGCTTAGTTTTAAAGGGAATTCAGTGAGTATTGTTAATTCTTAAAAATCTGTCCTTCCAGGTGAATATGTTCACAAACCAAGGAACAGTGATCCACTTTAACAATCCTAAAGTTCAGGCATCTCTGGCAGCCAACACTTTCACCATTACCGGCCACGCTGAAACAAAGCAGCTGACAGAAATGCTCCCCAGCATCTTAAACCAGCTTGGCGCAGACAGTCTGACTAGTTTGAGAAGACTGGCTGAAGCTCTGCCCAAACAATGTGAGTTTATAAATAGTGACTTGGCCATAGCTTACTGGTTTAACAGCACATTTTTGCCTCTCAAGGTGCAAAGTATATGCTGAATATCTTTAAATTTAGAAATATAAACTTTATTCTAATAAACGTTGGTTATTAAATAACGTGCTAAATGTGTTCCATTTTTACTGTGACCATTATACTTGATTCAGTAGAAAGCTTATTTTCTACTTTGTTGCTTTGGATCAGAGACTTTTTATTATACCAACTGTGGTGTGGCGCTGTGGGTTAATGCGCCAGATTGCAAAGCTTTTTGAACTGCAAGGTCGGCAGTTCAAACTCAGCAGCTGCTCCTTGGAAACCCTATACAGGGTTGCTATGAGTCGGAACCGACTCGATGGCACTTAACAACCACAACCTTAAATAGTTAGGAATTAAGCAGATGCCCATTTCTTGCTTTGTTGATAACTACTTGTACTTTGCAATAGTTTAAAAATGCACTAGTGTGGAGTCCCTGGGTGGTACAATTAAATACTCAGCTACTGGCTAAAAAGGTTGGCAGTTCAAACTCACCCTGAGGCACCTCAGAAAACAGGCCTGGCAGCCTGCTTCTAAAAGGTCTCGGCCTTGAGAGCCGTATGGAGCCAGTAACTCTGCACATGGGAGCACCGTGGATCAGAATCGACTCAACGCCATCTAACAGAAACAAGAGGAGCATATGGGCATGTGAGCGTGTTTCTAAAAAATATATTCTGTCATCAGATTTAAAATTTGAAGAGTAGGGTTTGTCATCTTGAGAGGCATTAGAAGTTCGAGAACATCTCTGGCTTTCACAACTAAAGTAGGCTTTTGAAATATCTCATTGATACTGTGAGGTCTCAGGACTCGAATGCAGTTTACTTTCTTGAGAGATGAAAGGGTAAGTCAGTAATCATTTTGCTTCCATGAATGATTTTGAACATAGTCCTTATGCCATGCATAAGTGGTGCACAAAGCCAACAGAGTCTTTGAGGAAGTAACCCCTGCCTTTGTCCCCCAAAATAAGTCTTAATCATAATTTGGTATTTGGGTTTATGTGTAATGTACCCTGGGAGCTTCCTATTGCTGTCTGCTTCCTCAGGGCCTGTTGTTAAAGTGCCATAGAGTCGGATCTGACTCATAGTGACTCTTTAGGATTTCTAAGAAGCAGCTGGTGAGTTTGAACTGCTGACCCCATGGTTCATAGTCCAGTGCTAATTTTACAACACCACACCAGAAGTCCTCTAGGGGCCTAGAGGGTTTTAAAAGATGGGTGTGGGATTTGGTTTTTTGGCTGTTAGTAATTACTATTCTAGTCCATTTGTAAATATCAAAATACTATCTTACTGATCATATAGATGAGATTTGAAGGGTCAGTGTCATTAACCATCAGTATATTGAAGACTTGCACAAATGTATAAATAACACCTACATTTTCTCTTCACAGCTGTGGATGGAAAAGCACCACTTGCTACTGGAGAGGATGATGATGATGAAGTTCCAGGTAGAAAACTACCTTCATTTGTGGTTTAGCTATAGAAAAATCTTAGAAATTAAGATACAGAAAACTAGGGGGAAGGTGTGGAACTCAGGAAAAAATAGTGTTGTTTGATTAGAACTTAATATTTGTAGACTTCTCATTCCTTAAGATCCAAGGGAGATGTGAATGTGATTGTCTAACCTTAAATACTGAGTAAGTGTATACATTGTGACCTAAACACACCAACAACCTGTGTTTCATATACATGGCTCTTTTTTCCTACTTGGTTGCATAATAAATATTTACTGGGGGTAGAATCACAAAATTCACAAATAATCACACTATATAGACAGGAGTCCCTAAAGAACCAAGGGAAACTTCAAAGTTAGTCATTGTATTTGTTCTACTGCCTCCATGTTGACCTAGAGTCCATTAATTCTGTAGTGGGGCAGGAGCAGAAAGGACATATACCTGTGGTTTACATGATTGACAAATCACTGGCTTGTCTTCATTTCCTTGTTTTACTTGTGCCTAAACATACGCTTCTAAAATGTGCCAAATGGATAGTGGTCTCTTTGAAAATAAAAACAAATGTTCTAATGAAATGCATAACCTGATTTAACTGTGAAGAGATCTACTAATTTGTAGATTTGGCTTTTTCCTGAGTTTCTTTTTTTTTTTTTTTTGGTTTTTTTGGAAATTTTTGTTGGGGCTTCCAAAATTGGGGTTACTTGTTGGGTTTACTTTTTGAGGAGGCTAAAACTTGAAGAAGTTACTTGGAGCTGCTATTTTATATTATGACTGCTTTTTCAATTTGTTTTGTTTGTGGATCTGATAAAATCTAGATCTCTAATATTTTTCAGCCCAAGCTCTTTGGACATTGCAGCTCTTTTCAGTTTTTGCTTATACATAATTCATTCTTTGCAGCCAATTTATGCTGAAGAAGCCTGGGAATAAATTTGAGACAAATGTTAATAAAGTTCTTTGCCTAGTATACCGTTGTATATTTTTATTTCATTGACACTTATTTATACACAAAAAGCAGTCATTATATTGCTGTTGTTATGTGCCGTGGAGTCGGTTCCGACTCATAGTGACCCAGTACAGGGTTTACAAGGCTGTAAATCTTTACAGGAGCAGAAAGCCTCATCTTTCTCCTGCGAAACAGCTGGAAGTTTCGAACTGCTGACCTTGAGGTCCACAGCACGACTCGTAACCACTACGCTACCAGAGCTCCTTAAAGTTATTTAGAAAGCTCATTTTAACATGTAATATGGCTAATAACTTAAGGAATTTGATTAAAAATTTAAAATCAGAATAATGTAACAAAGGTGGTATAATATTATTTGGTTGTTGTTTTCTCTTGAAGTTCTCAAGGATCCCATGGTTTGTGTATAATAAAATGATGATAGACTATTTCTTAGTGGGCCTACAAGGGGATTTTCTCTAAACTATCGTCTATCTTTATCGTAAGCAGACACTTAGTGCCTTACAGGTATTTTCTGTTTTCTATCATTGAACTTGAATTTCTAAAGTTATGTCAGATCAGGTTCAACTCAAAATGAGTAACCATGTATAGGTTTTCCAAGAAGCAGTAGGTGGGTGTGAACCTCCAACCTTGTGGTTAGTAGTCCAGCAAGTATTCTACAGAGCCACATCAGGAATCCCAATTTATGGAGTTAAGTGCCATCAAGTTGGTTCTGAGTCATAGTAACCCTGTGTAGTGGGTTTGAACTGCCTACCTTGCAGTTTTCAGTCCAGAGCTTAGCCAACAGTGCCCTGCCAGGACTTTAATTTATGGAGTACTGACTCAAAACGACCCTTTATAGGGTTTCCTAGGAGCAGCTGGCAAGCTTGACCTACCGATCTTGTGGTTGGCAGTCCAGTGCTGATTCACAACGCCGTACCCGGAGTCCAGTTTATGGAGTAGGGTTTATTAGAAATGAGTTACCCAGTTTGATTCTGACAGGGTAAAAGTAGCCCCATAGGCACTGTGGAATAATGCATCTGACTGTAAGATAAGTTTGAATTGCATGGTCAGTGGTTCAAATTTTACCCACTGCTCCTCGGAACTGCCGCACTTAACAATCTGCTTTTGTAGGAGTCCTGCTGGGGTACTGCAGGATCATGCAATGGAATACTAGGTGGGTATGAACTGCCAGAGTCAGAACCGACTTGGCTACCAAAAATTGCTGTGTCAACAGTATATGCATGTCTTTACGTTGTATTTGCTTAAAAGAATCCTAGTAGGTATGTTGCTAAGTGCTGTTGAGTCAGTTCCAACCCACAGTGGTGCTGTATAGGGTTTCCAAGCAGCAGCTGGTGAGCTTGAACTGCCAACCTTGCAGTTCAAACAGCTTTGCAGTGTGGCACATTAACCTGCAGCGCCACACCAGGACTCACCAAACTAGTCAGGATGAGCTGTGCTACATATTCATTCTGGGTTTCTGATGGTGTAAGACCAATCTGGGATACTCTAGCCCCCTGACAAGAGAGAGGAGGATGTGCTGTGTGCAACCCGTAAAGAGGTAATACACTCTTTGTCGATTTTTACACTTAACAGACGCAAGTAAGTGGGGTGTAAACTGGACGGCAATAGGGTTCTTGCTATGTGCCGTGGAGTCGGTTCCGACTCAGCGACCCTGTACAGGGTTTCCAAGGCTGTAAATCTTTACGGGAGCAGAAAACCTCATCTTCCTCCAGCGGAACAGCGGGTAGTTTCAAACTGCTGAATGTGAGATTAGCAGCCCGGTTCGTAACCACTACACTACCAGAGCTCCTTGTAATAGGCTTAGAAAGAATCAATTTGGAAGGAGCCAGAGGATTTACATTTCTGATAACACCACTGGCCATACTTTGAGTACCACAGCAGTAGCTTTAGGTCATCCCAAGATGCATTGGAGTGATAGTGACAATTGACAAGCGTCTGAATATCTGTAGTGGTTGACTTAAACTATAGGAAAGAGGGACTAAACAATTACTAAAAGATACTCAGATGAGGGCTATCCCTGGACAGTTGCTTATGATGGATGCTGGCTAAGGGTTAATCCTGTTACGTCTATACTCCGGGTTCTTTATCCAACCACTTCTAAAAATGTTTTAGTGTGTGTTGGTTGTTATTGTTAAATGCTGTAGAGTAGATTCTGACCCACAGTGACCCAGTGTAGGGTTTCCAAGGAGCAGCCTAGTGAGCTTGAACCACTGACCTTGCAGTTCAGACCAACTTTGCAGTCCAGGACGTTAGCCCACAGTGCCACAAGAGGACCCTGGAGAGGTTTTTGTATTCCTTCAATATCAGGATGGGAAGCATTGCATTGCTGTTACAAATGACCAAACATTTCAAGTGCTACAAAGCTTTGTTTCTTTTGATGTTTGTGCTGATTTGCCATGGCTGAATTACTTCTAGGAGCTAGCTCTTTTAATGTGCTGAGAAATTAAGTAGATCCACAATGATCAAATGCATCAGCCAGAGTAAGTCAGAGTCAAGTCTGGTGCCCATGG